AACATTTCCTCCATAAACCACGCGGGCGCCTGGCGTGCGCATGTCGACATCATTCGAACGCCCTTGTGCGCTTGCTCGGGGGGGCCTGTCAAATCGTTTGATTTGGGCCACTCGCGCACCTCGGCCGCGCGCGCGCCCAGATTGCTCCAAAGCCTACACCACTGACGCATGGGCATCCTCATCGTCGTCGGCGTTGCCAGTATCGGCGCCGTCATTGGCGTTGACGTCGTCATCGCCATCATCGCCACCGCCCTCGCCACTATCATCATCTGTGCCACTGCTGCCGACGTCAGCACGATGCCGCGCCGGCCCGAGCCACCGGCCCGACGACTTGCCCGCGCGCCAGCGCGGCCTTCGGCACACGCTGGGACGTTGACGCGGGTAAACGCCCACGCGGCCGCATCGGCTGCGCCCAGCCAATGAATCGCTCTGCGCACGAGCTCGCGTCGGCCAGCGCGGCCACGGAGATGCGCCAGCCACAGCCAAGCGGCAAGTGTCGCAAGCGCTGCCGCACAGTTCTGGAAACCGAATTGAGGGTGGAAGGATTCCGTGACTGCGCGAGCAGCGGAGCTGACAATTCCATTTCCGTCAAAACAGATGGCGCCACACAGATGGCCCCACATATATTCTCCTTTCTAACATAAAAGCATTGACTCGACCATGTCTCCGATGGCGGCATTATCGCTACACCATGGGACATCGCAAATCACCGCTTGTTTTGCCTCGCAGTTCATTTAGCGCATGCGTTCATACCATCCCAGGGGGCCCCTTTATCGCCCCCCACCCCCCTTTCATCCCTGCCTATTGAAACTACGCGAGCACACTCGCTCATCCCGAAGTCCTTCCAAAACCGTTGGTCGGATTTCAAATGCGAAGCTCCCGAACACATGTAACAACATCAACAGCATGTACGAGGAAAGCGCGTGCGCATTTGCAAATCCTCAGGTACACCAGTTGCGTGTTTCAATCTAGTTGTCAGATGTGACCGCGCGGGCCTCTCGCGCGCGCATGTCGAAACCAGTCGAGCGCCCTCGCGCGCTTGCCAGGGGTGGACACTGTCCCTGTCGAGTGTTCCAACGCGGTCAACTCGCGCGAGTCGGCCGCGCGCGCGTGCCCAAATCATTCCAAAACCTTCATCATCGACACATGGGCATCGTCATCATCGTCATCAGCGCTGCCAGCATCAGCACCGTAACTGGCCTTGCCGTCGCCATCGTCAGCATCGCCACCAACATCGTTAATATCATCATCGTTCCCGCCCTTGCCGACGTCACCGCGGCGCCGCGCCCGCACGGGTCACCGACCTGCAATAAGACGTCCGCGCGCCAGCGCGGCCTGTGAAACGCACTGAGAAACCCCCATCGGCAAACGCCATCGCGACCGAGTCGGCCGCGCTAAACTAGCCAGTTGCTCAGCGCGCGAGCTTGCGCGCGCAGGCGCGGCCGCGGAGATGGGCCAGCCAACGCCAAGCAGACATCGCAATCGCCGCCGCATGTGTTTTGCAGGCCAAAATGCGGAGGGGACAGCTTCCCCGGTCTTCGCGGCCCCCCCTGGGATAATGCAATGTGCGAGTGATTGTGTCCCATCGCTCACGTGGCAAACGAGGTCGTACCATCGCAGCTGCAACGGTACCGACACCGCCCTCATCCTCATCAGTGTATACGATGCGCGCGCACTCCTTCATCAAACATCATGCGTTTCCAATGTAGTCCTGGAAGCAGACAAATGAAACGTCTACACGCGCGCGCGGCGTCGCGCGCGCATGCCGCAACTCGTCAAAAACAGTAGGTTTCGTGCGGATTTCAAGAGCGAGATGTCCGAAGGCATGTGATTACATACGTATGTATATATGCGAGCATTCTGTTTTGCAGCATGGTTTCGAGAACAACTCTGCGCGCGTTCGTGCAGATTCTGAAGGAAGCCATCCGTTGTTTCGAATGGTTGCGTCACATACGACCAAGCGGGCCTCTCGCGCGCCCATGTCGACATCATTCGAACGCCTTTGCGAGCTTGCTGGAGGGGCACGGTCCTTAAAATGGTACCATGCGGGCCACTCGCCCGCGTCGGCCGCACGCGCGCGTGTCGAAATCCAGCCCTTGTCGACGTGGCCACGGCGAAACGCCCGCCCGATTCACCAACCCGCACTGAAGTGCCCGCGCGCCACCGCGGTCTGTGAAACGCGCCACCGCGACCGCGTCTGCAGCGCTCAACCAGCTGGTCGCTCTGCGCGACCTCCCAGGCACCCCGGTCAGTGCCAAACAATCATCGCAATCGCCGCCGCATGGGTTTGCAAACCATGTTGCCGGTGCGAGGTTGGGATGATTGCGCAAGAAGTGGAGTTGACAACTGACTACTACTTACAAGCATTAACTGCACCACGTAGATTGCACCTCGTAGTTTGCTAGGACACACTGTTTGAGGTCCACACGGGCTAACGTGTTGCCAGGCATTACTTTGTACTGTGTAAAGTGGATTGGCATTTCTTTGCGTTGCTTTGCGCTGCTTGGAAGTGCAACTGTTGACATTGAGTGGCGTTGCCTGGCAGTGCTTGGCAATGCTTAGCAGTGCTTGTGCCCGCGCGCTAGCGCGGCCTGTGAGACGCGCCACCGCGGCCGCGTCTGCAGCGCTCAACCAGCTGGTCGCTCTGCGCGCGAGCTTGCGCGCTAGCGCGACCTCAGAGATGCCCCAGTCAGTGCCAAGCAGTCATCGCAATCGCCGCCGCATGGGTTTGCAAACCATGTTGCCGGTGGGAGGTTGGGATGGTTGCGCAAGAAGTGGAGTTGACAACTGACTACTACTTGCAAGCATCAACTGTACCACGTAGATTGCACCTCGTAGTTTGCTAGAACACACTGTTTGAGGTCCACACTGGCTAACGTGTTGCCAGGCAAAGTGGATTGGCATTTCTTTGCGTTGCTTGGAAGTGCAATTGATGGCATTGAGTGGCGTTGCCTGGCAGTGCTTGGTAATGCTTAGCAGTGCTTGCTTTTGCTTGGCATCGCCTGGCATTGCTTGGCATTGCTTGGTATGGCTTGGCGCTGCCTGGTATTGCTCAGGATTGCTAGATCGCACGAAGCATGGCCAAGCATCCTGAGGCACGCAGTCAAGAAACAAAAACAAGCATCCTGAGGACGGCAATCAAGAGACAAGACCAGGCAACTGGAGGAAGGATATCAAAGCACAATGCCAAACAACTCGAGGAACGCAATTAAGAAACAGAAATTGCGTGACCATGCTGCCAATGGGGGGAAACGGCGAAATTCGCTGGAGAGTCCTGATTGCGCGGAATGACTTGAGCCCACATGGCGACGCACGGAGGCGAGGAGGAAGGGGCGAGAAAGGGGAGAGACAAGGTGCGCTCGCGCCAGATCTGACATCCTACCCCTTCCGCTCATCCATTCCCGCCGTACTGATTTGAATGTATCTGCCAACGGACGTCATAGCGGACCCTGCTTCCCCCAAAAGACCTCATCGTGTTACTCACAGTCAGAAGGGTGCGGTGTACACTGGAGGGGAAGGAGGAGGTGGCGGATGAACGAGATGATGAGCAGGAGTGAGAGGATGAGGAAGGAAGACCAGAAGGAACAACAGCAGCAGCATCAGGAGTAGGAGCAGGAGTAGCGGGAGGAGCAGGAGGATCAGTGGAAGGCGAAGGAGGGGACAGGAGCGCGGCAACAACGACGATGAACTCGGATCCAGAATTGCGATCTGCGTTGAAGAGAGAGCGCCATTGTGAACGACGGGAGTCAAGTGCTGATCCTAAACCGACGCCAAAGCTGCAACGGGAACAACATTTCGAAACAACGGAAACGTCCGATTAAACAAACCCATAATACATCTCACCTCTTGAACTCCTACATGTGAGGGTCCATTTGTGGGAGAAGACGGGCCCCGCTCGGACAGGATCTGGGAAGGGATGGGAGCAGTAGTCATATGGAGTAAGTGCGGAGTTGGAACAGGAGGAGGAGGGAGGAGGCGAGAGGATGACGGGAAAGGAGCAGGGAAGGAGGGAGGGGGGAAGCATGGGAGGGAGGGGAGGGGGAGGATGAAGGAGGACGGGGAGGAGGCGGCGGACAGACGAGGATGGTGCCAAGTGGGAAGAGGAGGGAGGAGTCCGAGGATGAGAGAGGTGGAGGACAGGAGAAGAGGAGGGAAGGGGAAGGAGGGGAGGGATAGGCAGGATGAAGGAGCACCGGGAGGAGAAGGCGGACAGGAGAGGAGAGGGCCAGGAGGACGGAGGGGAGAGGACGGAGGGGAGATTAGGAGGGAGCCACTGATGCACCCAATGAAAGAGCTACTACTGCTGGTGGAGCCAGCGGCGGACAGTGATTGCCTAGTCGGCTAGGGAGGCGGAAGAGGAAGAATAGGAGGTGGGAGTTGTCATCGGGGTTTTCGGAGGTTCTGAGGAGAATGGTAGGTTCTGGAAGGGGTGGGGATGAGGCGGAGGGGAAGATGAGACGGAGGCGAAACAAGCCAGATGGAAGGGGCGGTCCTGCCTCCCTCGGGTCGGCAGCTCACGGCAAAAACGCGGAAGATGCGATGGCTGGCTACGAAACAGCGAAAAGACGGTATCCTTGACCAGCTCCGCTTCGCGCTGCACCTTCTGTTGCATCTGTTTCATCTTCAGTTCCTCGGGAGCAAGAACAACACGAAACATACACAAGCCCCACTGGGGCCCAGACCCTCGATGAACATCGGGCCCCGGCCAAGCCAGGAAGCCACATCCATCAAGGTCTTGGCTCATGGTGGGCCTGTTGAGCCTGGGTGTAGGCCCAAGTTGGGCCTGTGGGTGGTGGTGGATGCCCAAACCGCCGACGTAGTGATTTTTAACAACGTGGTCCCTGGAACTCTCGACCCCATCACTGGGACCCGTTTACTGCCGCGGGCATTATTTTCTTGTGAGTCCGTTGGACCTGCAAGTCGAAAATGCCTCGGGGGGCGCGAGAATCGCAACATTCAAAATCATGCCTGTCGCGGCTTTTACGCGAAGCCTGGGTGCTTTCTTACCGCGGGGCTCCTCCTGCTGCCTCTTCATGTCCTCGATCTTCTTCATCTGCATCTGCTTTTGCTGCGGGGGCGAGAGCGATGCTGTCCGTCGCCATCCTCTCCACTGCCCCACCCGATCGTCCTGTCCTTCCTCCTCAACCTGCTGCTGCTGCTCCTCCTGCTCCCCTCTCAATCTCCTCTTCCTCCCGACTGCTTCTCCTGCTGCTGCTGCTGCTGCTGCTCCTCCTCCTCCTCCTCCTCCTCCTCCTCCTCCTCCATACATCTTCGTCGTGGCTGCGGTCAGGAACGTCGGCTTAGCGTGTCGCGCCGCCGATTCTGGTCCACCACGCTTCGGCGCGACACGCTAACCACGTCCTGGTCCCAAAGCGTCAACGCCCCGAGCTCTTCGAAGCCGCCAGGCCTGCGGAGCGGAGCGACACGCCACCAGCATGCATGGTATATAGCGTGTTGCCCGGGCCGCCGCCGCGAGACGCTGAGCCACAAGTCCTGACTTTGAGCTCCTGCGTAGCCGTTTTGGCTCACGTCGCCGCCGCGCGCTGAAGCGGCGAGGTGCCCGGTCGGCGATCGGTCGTGGTCGCTGCGGGGCACGCCTCGGGTGAGGGCGGGGCGCTGTCGCGGCAGGGGGCCGGGCGCCGCCGATCATCGTCTCGCGGGGGGCTGCGCGCCACGATTGCGGTCTACCAGTCGGCCTCGGCATGGGCCTGGGCGCGGGCGGCCGTGACATCCGCTGTTTTCTTCGGGCAGGTGCAGGCCTCGAGCTCCTGATCTGTGGGGCAAAGCAGGAACATGAATCATGTTGCTTCGGGCGGTCTCTACTTGAGAACGCCACTAGGGGAACAACAAGTGGCATAAACATAAAAGCTCTGAGGTCCGCGCGGATTTCTCGGATCCGCGCTGGACCCCCCTCCCTGGCGCGCGGAGCGCGCCAGGGGCGGCGCCGGAGGCGCCGCCAAGGGGGTCCAGCGCGGATCCGAGAAATCCGCGCGGACCTCAGAGCTTTTATGTTTATGCCACTTGTTGTTCCCCTAGCCATGCGGGATCCCCGAGAAACACCAGACCCGAGGCGGGTCGGGAGCCGACGGCGACGGGAGGGGGCCGCTCGTGGCCGTGGGTCCGACGGGCTCGGCGAGCGGGGCCTCAGGACAGGGCGAGCTTCTCCCGTCGGCCTGCGGCTGTACCCTCCTGGGCCCGCCGCTGCGCCAAGTGTGGCAGCAACGGGAGGTGGTGGTTCGGCAAACCCGTATGTGCCGGATCGGAAGACTGTGCCTCTGGAATCTATCTACGCCTGTCGTTTGGGGGGGGGGGCACAGCACGACGGGGGGCCACTGTGAACCATCAATCGTCCTCGCGGCTGGAGCCCGCGACGCAGATAATGCAAAGCCCTGTCACGAAGCCCTCCTCCTCCACCTGCGTCCTCTGCTGCATCGCCCACATCCTTCCCCCTGGCCCTTACTCCTCCTTCCCCCTACCAAGTTCTCCTCCCTCCCCCTCCACATTCCTCTTCCTCCAACGGCGAGCGTGCACTGGAAAAAGGTACTTTCCTTCAGGAGGAGGGCGAGAAGCAAGAACAGGAGGTAGTGAGCGCGCTCCCGTGATATCCTGCTCCTCCTCCACTCCTCCTCCTCCTCCTCCTCCTCCTCCTCCTCCTCCTCCTCCTCCTCCTCCTCCTCCTCCTCCTCCTCCTCCTTTCCTCCGAGGCCCAACCAACGACTACCCCATAAACGTCCGCGGCGACACCGACAGCGGTCGCGGTAACACCGGCAATGACTCCTGCTCGAATTGGACAAGAACTGCTGTCGGTCTTCGTCCACGCTCTTCCCACCGATCCCCTCCTCCTCCTCCTCCTCCTCCTCCTCCTCCTCATCATCATCATCATCATCATCATCATCATCATCATCATCATCATAATCATCATCATCATCATCATCATCATCATCATCATCATCATCATCATCATCAAAATCAGCATCACCATCACCATCACCATCGTCATTATCATCAGCATCATGATCATCCTTACTCCCCTCTACTCCTCCTTCCTCTCTACCTCCCTCCTCCTCCTCCTCGCCTCTCTGGGGAACCCAAGAGATACCAATACCGCTTCTCCCTGGACCTCTCCATCGGTGCGCTCTGATCCAAATTTCGAGGCGGACCCAGCCGCGGCATCGAGGATATCTTAAGAAGAAGGCGAGAATGAGGCAATGGTAGGGGTATGGGACCGGTTCCACCCCACCTCCTTTTTAGACGCCTGAAACTGATACTCTTCGAAAACAACGGGTACGATGCCCAACAAAAAGGTCTCCAAAACCGACAGCAGACTCTGGTAGGCAGATGATTATCTGTCGCAAGTGGAAAGCCTCCGCGGCGACGCGGACAGCGAGCCCTGCTCAACATGGGCAGAAGCTGTTGTCGGTCTTCGTCACCATTCTTTCCGTACTCTCCTCCTGTTTTGGAAGGGCCAAAGACGGCACAAACATAACTTCTCGGAAGACCTCGTACGGGGAGCTCCGAACGTTTATGTTTCATGTTGCAATTGTTGTTGTCTTCGCTGTTTGACGAACCAACAACACACACCCACACCCATAGGGGGATCGGAGAGGGCTATGGGTGCGTGTTGTCGGAGGGGGGTCCCCGCTCGAACGGGAGCGTTCCCCAGGGTCCGACGACCCGCACCCAGACCCATAGCGAGTCCTCCTCCCAACGACCTCCCTATGGGTATGGGTGTGTGTTGTTCGTTCGTCACCGTTTCTCCGAACCCCCGAGGCAGGCGCCTGCTCCATGAGCATCTTCTGCTGCATCTGGGCGGCCGCGGCCGCGGCCTGGTTCTGCATGACCTGGGCCATAGCCTGCCGCCGGCGGGGGCGGCCAGTGCACCCCTCCCCCTCTCCAGGAGGAGAGGGAGGAGGAGGAGAGGAGGAGGAGGAGGAGGAGGAGGAGGAAGAGGAGGTGGAGGAGGGGGAGGATGATGATGATGATGATGATGATGAGGAGGAGGAGGAGGAGGAGGAGGAGGAGGAGAAGGAGGAGCGCGATGGAGCAGAGGAGGAGAAGGCGGAGGAAAAGGGAGAGGAGGAAGTGGAGGAGGCGGAGGAGAAAGACGATCGGGGAGGGAGGGAGGACGAGGGAAAGGGAGAGGAGGAGGAGAATGGAGAGAAGGAGGGGAAGGACTCTGACAACCTGCAGGGACTCTACACCAAGAAGCTCCTCAGGCCCGAGAAATCTTCGAGCCCCAGTCCCTCTCTAAGAGCATGTATCAGGCGGGCATGGCTAAGAGAAAAGATGGCTGAGCTTGTCGAATAAACGTCTCAATGTGACCTGCTCATCCACCAAGCCCAAAACACCCAAACCCAATTACTAAAACAAATCGCGGACTTGGAAGTCGGCATGGAAACAATCCGGCTTGGGGACGTAAAAGCGATCGGACAAACACTGAACGGGCCCACAGTTTCTGAACTAGTTAAAACAAAAAACATTACATTCTGGGAACACGCATGTCACATCCCCAGAAAAAAAAGCATTGAACCAATTCGACCAAATGTTAAGGTACCACAACAAGATGACATTTCGGCAGCCGGATTTGGAAAGCAAGGAACATGAATGAAAGGACATATTTCGAATCTTCGACGCGTCAGAAACAACGCAGGAAAGAAGACTGCAGTGGCAAGACGGCATGGATCCCACGGGGGCGACACCTTCTTTCGGCAAGACTATGCAGCTTCTCAGAAACGTAAGGGTCTCAAACAGTCTAGACCCGATGCAGATGCTTAGGCCCTCGATGCAGCGCGTGTGCAAGCAGGGCCAACAGGTGGTCGACAGCCCTGGCAGATCACAGGCCTGGCGGCCGCCCCTTCTGAATGATGTTAGCCAGCGTGGACCCCTGGCAAGATATACGGTGCAATCTAGGTGATGCGACCAATGTGGTGGTGCAATATAGGTCGTGCAATCCATGTGGTGCGATCTCTGCGGCGCAAGGCAACGCAGAGCAGTGCAAAGCAATGCAACGCAATTGACAACAAGGCAATGCGATACAAAGCAATTCAAGGCGATGCACAGTTACGCAAGTCAATGTGAAGCAACGCACTGCGAAGCACAATGAAGCAACACTAATCACTGAAAAGCAAAGCAAAACAAACCACTGCAAAGAACTGTAAGGCACTGCAGAGCACTGAGAAGCAATGTAAAGCACGGCTGAACAATGCAACGAAATGCAAAGCAATGCAAAGCAAAACAAAGCAATGCGCAGCAATGCGAAGCAATGCGCAGCAATGCAAAGCAATGCAGAGCAAATAACAACAGTACACATCACTGCAACGCAGTGCAAAGCACTGGAAAGCACTGCGAGGCAATGCAAAGCAATGCAAAGCAATGCAACCCAATGCAAAGCACTGCAAAGCACTGCAAAGGGCTCAAAACACTACAACATATTGAAAAGGATTGCAAAGCACTCAACAGGCACTGCAAAGCATTGCAAAGCAAGGGAAGACAAAGCAAAGTAATGCAATGCCAAGCAATGCAAAGCAATGCAAAGCAAAATAATACAACGCCCCCTCCTCCCCTTCCCCGGCAGAGCCCCTCCGGCACCCCCTAGCAGAGCTGAAGCTCAGGCTGTAGGCTGTAGGCTGTAGCTGAGGCTTTTTGAAACTCACACGCCAGATCGGCGGATTAAGCTACACAACAAAGTATACACACTGTCCCATCCGGGGTCCGCGCCTGGGGAAAGCCGCAGAACCCTGGGACAACACGAACTGTGATGCTGTAGTCCCGCAAACATGCAGCGCACTTCCCGCACATGTCGGGACACGGCGACGCCAGGGGGTTATCAAATACAATCTCCGTTACGTGTTCGCTGTTTACGTGACGTGGGCTCAGGGAGCGCTCGACCCCATGCCTGGGATTGCTGTTCCACCGCAGCTCTTCACAATCCCGACGACCGAGGCGGCCCTCCAGCTGCCCAAATCACGGAAACTATACGTCACGATTTTTGCGTGGCGTCGGAGGCCAGCTTCCTCGTCCGACATGTCGGCAGCACGCAGTCGAGAGTGACCCTGGGCCGGAAGCCGGGCAAGGGCTGCTAAATCCGTGGCTGCCAAAATCGACCTCCGGGAAATTGTCTTCGTCCTTCCGGGAAGAAGCCCGTTGACTGTTTCGCGTGCCGCGCCTCATTCTGGGAAGCTGTTTTTTCCTCCCAGGAGGGCCGTTTTAGCAGCCACGGTTTTAGCAGCTCTCGCCTGGCTCCCGACTGGGCACGAGTGTCCTCAGGTGCGCGACTTGCGGGGGGTCCAGGGGGGGAATGGGGCACGTGCGCGCAAGCCACTTCAGGGGGGGCTCCTGCGGACCCTCGACTTGGGGCCACTCCTGCGAAGGGTCACTCTCACGCGCCGTCGACCGGTGTCGCCCTGTGGGGGGGGGACCTCCCTCGAGGCCCTCGTGCTTTCTGACCCCCCCCGGGGCCTGGTTCTGCATGGCCTGCATGGCCGCGTTCATGCCGCCTCCGGGGCGCGGCGGCGGCGGCGCAGAAAGGAGGGACGGGGAGGAAGATGAGGGCCAAGACCATTCTGGTGTTTTGCAAAAAAAAAAAAACCGACGGCGTATGTCCATTCCGATGTTCGACCTCTAGGATGCCTCTTCGGACCCAAAGCCACCAAACCACGACCCAGGATGGAAACGCAGGTCCCCGGGATGGCAAGCCTGGGTTGGATCGAAATGTGAAAACGGACCGAATCGGAAACGGACTGGGTCGCCAGCGAATCGTCCCGAAACGAATCGAAATCCGATCGCCATGTCCGGCTCCTGCCTGGCCCTGACCGATGCCGCAGAAACGAACCGAATCGAATCGAATCGAAATCCGCAGCCCGATCCCCTTTCGCTCTTTTGCGGAGGCTCCTCCTTAGAGAGCCTCTTGGGGACCTCACGAAAGTCTTCAAACGACTACTTGGGGCTTTCTGGAGGCTGCCTGGGGCCCACTGGGGGCCTCTGGGGGCTTCCCCGGGCCACCTTGCTTCCAACCGCGGTTTCCCTGAACGACCAGGCTACGAATCGAAATGTTTCGGGGGGCGTTTCAGGGGCCATCTCAGGCCGTCATGGGTTCTCTTGGGGCTATCATTTTTTCCCTTTTGGCCCTTCCTGAGGCTCCCTTGGACTGCCTGGAAGCTCCTTTCGGCAGTTTTGAGGCGATGCTCCCTGGGCGGTCTCGGACGCCTGGCAAACCGAAGGACCGAGGATTCCCCAAATCTTATGATGTTCTAACCTACTTCAGCCTTGACCACCAGGAAGAATTTCGAGCGCCCAAAAGAGTACCGAAACTCAAAGGTTTTCACCTGTCGGGCCCTGGGAGACACCCGCCCGACACTGTGTCGGCACTGCTTCGACACTCCTTTGACACTTTCCCGGGTGCTCGAAACTATTTCTGGGAGGCGGTCCTTAAGTCAGCGAGCGAAGAATGGTATAAAATAAACTTTTTCGCCGTCGGGGACACCTGCCCCTGGGCGGCTGGAAAATGTATACCCCTACGGTGCCACCGTAAGGGTATAAACTTTCCAGCCGCCCTGGGGCAGGTGATCCCGACGGCGAAAAAGTTTATTTTATACCGTTCTTCGCCCGTTAATTACGTAAGTAGGATGGGCACAACATAACCCGGATCAAAGCAAAACCAAGTGGTGACCCAAAACTTTCCTCGCGCTTGGAGCTCCTCTCAGGAGGGCCTTCCTTCGGGAGCGGCCAAGAGAGGGGGGTCCAAGAGGGGGGGGGTGCAAATCATGACCGGCGGCATGTGCGCGGCCCAGCGGGGGGGCCAGGGACGTGATGAAATAAGAAGAGGCGCCATCAGATCTGGAGAAAAATCATGGCCCACGCCATGAGATCCACCACCCCCCCTAGTCGCCACCCCCCTCTTTTCCGCCCCCGATTCTTTCCTCGCGCTTCGAGCTCCTCTCAGGAGGGCCTTCGTGGGGCCGTCCTCGGTCGTCCTGGGGCTGCCCGGGGCCGCCTGGGGCCCTCGCGGAGCCGCGGGGCCGCTCGGCCGCCATGCTGCAGGGGTGCAGCCTGCCTCGGCCCGACAAGGGATTCCAGCACGCCCCCCCAGGAGGAGGAGGAGGAGGAGGAGGAGGAGGAGGAGGAGGAGGAGGAGGAGGAGGAGGAGGAGGAGGGGGAGGAGGAGGAGGAGGAGGAGGAGGAGGAGGAGGAGGAGGAGGAGGAGGAGGAGGGAACTTTCTGGGCCGAACGGCACCGAACATGCGCGGTGCGCGCCGCACTGCCCCTGCCCGGCTCCCTCGAGGGACCTCGGTTGAACTCCAGCGTGGGTTGTTACTGTAGAGAGGGTCATGAAACAGACGTCGAAACACACATTATGACGATCTGTGCATATGCGGTTTGGCAGATCGGGGCGGCATCAAGGCGACGCCCAGGGGCGTCGTGGACTCGAGACTTCGGCCTGGAAACACGAGGCGCACGATTACCCAGCATGAAGTTCTCCAACCGGTCACTGTGTTCTGGGGGGTGCACGGACCTCGGCACGCCAAGGTGCCGAGGTCACCTCGGCACCTTGGCGGGCGGAGGGCTCGCAGTGGCGCGGCCTGGCTTGACCTCGCGGCCTGAGGGCCACCCTCCACGCCTCCTGCAGACCTGTCGTGTGCTCTCTGACCTGCTGCTCATCAGCGGCCCCGCCAAGATCGCGCGCCGCCGTTCCGATCATGGCGACGAGGACGTGAGCCTTGGGTTTAGAGAGCAAGCTTCTGAGAACCGGGGGCGGTGCAACCATTCATGGGAACTTCGTCTCGCAGTCCTCTCGCGAGACGCAAGTAACGGGTGCACTGGCCCACGGTCCCCTGGCTTCCAATCGTGCCACATCGACTGCCGCTTTGAGCGGCCCGATCTGACGCGGCGTGTGCCAATTCATCACCCATTGAATGAACTCTAATGGTGGCTATCTCGCAACTCGGCCGGCCAGTCCCCACGCCATTTTCCACTGTGTCATGGTCAACGTGTGCATCATATGCACGTGCATTTGAGCTTCTGCATGTCTCGTCGTGCGTTTGACGTTGTCCACCCAAGGTTCAAACTTCGTATGACAATATCTGTCCTTGTAGTCGCGGTCTGCCACGTCGGTTTCTGCGTTGCCGGCGCCGTTTGCGCCGTCTTGGGGAGCCAACGATCACGCGTAGCATGCGACGTTGTGTGCGCTGTAGCCGCTCTCTGAGGCACAGTCAGAATCCACGTGCCAGCACCATGCGGTCGGGAACGTTTGCTTTGCGTGTCGCGGCGGGGGCAACGGCGAGATGCTATGCTCAGCAAGCGGAAAGCGTGTCGCTCCGCTCCGCGGGGCGGGTGGCTGGGAAAACCTCGGGTGACGACTTGGGGCCAGGAAACATGTGGCTTGTCGCGCCGAAACGCGGTGGGGCAGAACCGGTGGAACGACACACTGGGCCAACGTTCTCGCCCGTAAAATACCATTGGCCTCACAGTGACACTGGAGAGCCGCAGTCGGCGTCCGAGTGGGTAGTGCTTTCTTGTGAACTCCCGCCTGTGAGTTGTGAAAGCAGCACATCCTGCTTTCAACCAGTGTTGTTTCTCTGTGGGCATGGTGCCGACGATTGACACCAAAAACTTGACCGTGCGAGAGGGCGCATGATGTTCTCGAAAAGTGAGGAGCGTAAGGGTCGTCCTGCTCCATGTTTCTGAGAAGCCTGAATGAGCGACTGGTCATGATTGTCAGCATCATTGTGCGAGTAGGTTCGCTGGAGTCAGTATATGCATCCTGGTGCAACACCTTGGTTCTTCAGTGCCGCCCAGAGGCTCTAAAATTGAATCGTATCGGATGCTTTCTGAAATTCACAACCCAGACCTGTACGTTCATTCGCAGGCTCGATCCCATAGTATGTGAAAGGTCAACGGTGAATAATGAGGTGGTCTTGCGTTGAGCGTGGTGTGCGAAGGAGCGGGACAAGAAGGATGAGGAGAGGAGGGAGACAGGGAGGTGTAAGAGAACGATGAGGGGGAAGAGGAGAGGAACGAGGACGAGGGGGATCGTCGTCCAGTTTTTGGGTCATAACTCGGGCCTCCGGCAGCCGTTCGGCACGATCTGGGCACCCGCGGAACGCTCTCGCCGAGGCGCAGCTGCCGGAGAGCAGAGGCTGGAAAGCAACCGAGAAGCGGCGAAAACGCCCGAAAACCTCGGACCCCGAACCTAAGAGAGGAAGAACGAGGAAGAGTGCGACGACGACGACGACGACGACGACGAGGACGACGACGACGGCGGCGACGAGGAGAGGCCCGCCTGCCGCCGCCGGCGCCGCCCTCTGCCTCGGTGTATCGGCCACATGCCGACGTTGTCGGACGACGACGACGACGACGACGACGACGACGACGACGACGACGACGACGGCGATGGCGACGGCGACGGCGACGGCGAGGTCGACGGCGACGGCGGCGGCGGCGTCGGTGACGACGCCGCGGCCGAGGCCGTTGCACGTGTGTAGCGCCTCCATGCTGTGGGCGAGTGGTGGCGAGAGGAAGAGAGAAAGGCTACGGGCCGGCTCTTGCGGGGCGCCCCGAGGGGGGGTGAGGGGAGCGCGGCCGTCTGAGGAGGCGGGGCTTGCCGGGTGAGCGACCAAAAGAAGTGGGTCTGACGCGAGATGACATACTCCAGATTTCGTAATAAAGGGAGGGGGGTCTCATTTCGGGGGGGGTCTCTTCCGGGCTATCTTGGAGGGCCTGGGGGGTCTGGGGACGATGTTTTAAAAGGTTCTCCCACGGGGGAGGTCTGAAATGGCTTGTCTTGGAGGGTCCAGACCCCCTCCCTTTTATTACGAAATCTAGAGTAGCGACAGAGCGACCTTACGCAACGGCTTAGGCGGGTCGGCAGCGCGGCATGCCACATTAAAGCGAAGGTGCTGACGCGCGACCTTCTGCGGGGAAGCTTGTGCGCCAATGCCCGTGAAGACATGCGAGAACGAACCCGTCTTCCTTCGCGCTCGGGTGGGGCCGGAGGCTGTTGGGAAGGCTTCTTAGACTCAGGCGGTCGCACGCTGACATGCCTTGCGGATCCGGAGATCTGGCGCGTGGGCGCCAGATCCACGGATGGGGGAAGGTGCCCCCGAAACAGGAGGCCAGGCCAGTGCCGCCGGATTTGGCGACGGAGCGCGCCGACTTTGCATGGAAGCGGGATCCGTCGCTGGTCCGCGCGCCTTCGTCCATGTCTGCGCCTCCGCGACGGAAGCCGGGAGGGCTTCTAATCAGCCCCCTGCCGCCCGAAGGGGGCCGCCCCCCTCGCCGACGGAAGCCGGGAGGGCTTCTAATCAGCCCCCTGCCGCCCGAAGGGGGCCGCCCCCTTCGCCCCGCCAGGGACGACTCGCAACCACTCTGTCGAGCTGGCTCCCGAGCCTGGCCGCATGCAGCGGAGAGGGAGCAGCGAGCCAGCACGCAGCTGATGATTTCTCCAAATGGGGCCTCCCCTGCGCCAGCAACGCCGGCGCATCGAAGGAGGCGCCCAGCGGCGGGCCTGAAAGCACCCGCGTGCAGCAGACTTCCTGATGCCCCCTCTGTCCCAGGGCCCCCTTCTTCGGGATCCCACATGGGGCAGTGTCAGACCATGCGGGGTCCTCGAGAACCCCGAGAGATCTCACCGCGCGGTCCGTCACCACACGGTTCTGGGACCGTGGAGGCCCCAGTCGACCGAGACCATGCTCGGAGAACGGCCCAGGGGCCAAAACCGTGCAGCCACCCCGACTCCCCACTCGCTCACCCGACGGAGTGGTCACCGCGCCGTCTGGAAGCCCGTAACGTTCGTCCGACCCGACATCTCCCTCCCGCGCGCGGCCAATCGTGGAAGGCCGCGGCGGGCCAGCTCTGCGCTGGGCGCCTGGCGCCTACTTCTGGCCGCCCCACCACCGACACGGCTGCTGCACCAGCGGCCGGTGCGCCACCCGTTGGCTGGTCCCAGGGGACCTGAAGCGTTGTGTTCGCGTCGGTTTCCTTTCTCGACGCCGGAAGTGCGTAATGATGCCCGCTGGTTCCCATTGCTTGCGGCGTTGGATCATCCTGCTGCTGCTGCTGCTCCTCCCCTTGCTCATCCTTCCTCTTCGTCCTCCTCCTCCTCCTCGCGCATGTGCTCCACATCATCAAAATCCTCCCGATCGTTCTCAGCTTGCCCATCCGAGTCTACCTCCTTCGTCCTGTTCCTACCCCTTCTCCTCCTCCTCACCGTCCTCCTCCTCCTCCACCTCCTTTTCAGCCTCGATATGGTCATCGTGCTTCTCGTTCTTCCTCCTCGTCCTCTTCCTCCCGATCGTGCTGATATTCCTGCTCCTGCTTCTCCTGCTCCTGCTGCTCCCCTGCTCCTCCTGCCTCCTTTCTCCTCCTCACAATGATGTTCCTCCTCTTCCTCCTCCGCCTCCTCATTCCGAGACCTACCGTCCTCCACCTCCTGCCCGTGCTCCTCCTCCTCCAATTCGTTCTCGTCCTCGTCCTTAGTATTATCCTTCCTCCTCCTCTTCCTCCTCCTCCTCCTCGCGCATGTGCTCCAACTCATCCATACCCTCCAAATGCTTCTCATCCTGCTCATCCACGTTGTCCTCCTTCCTCCTGTTCCTACCCTTCTCCTCCTCTTCCTCCTCCTCCTCCTCCTCACCGTCCTCGTCCTCCTCCTTCTCCTCAGGATGGTCATCGTCCTTCTCGTGTGTTTCCTCCTCGTTATCTTCCTCCCGATCGTGCTAGTAGTCCAAATGCGTGTCCTCCTGCTCCTTCTTCCTCCTTCTTCCTTCTCACGATGCTGATCCTCCTCCTCCTCCACCTGCTCCTCCTCCCCCACATTCCGAGACCCGCCGTCCTCCACCTCCTGCCCGTGCTCCTCCTCCTCCTCCTCCTCCTCCTCCTCCAACTCGTCCTCGTCCTCGTCCTCCTCATAACCCTTCCTCCTCCTCCTCCTCGCGCATGTGCTCCACCTCCATGCCCTCTCAATACTTCTCTTGCTGCCCATCCGCTTCGTCCTCCTCCTCCTGCTCCTGACCCTTCTCCTCCTCCTCACAGTCCGTCTCCTCCTCCTCCTCCTCCTCCTTCTTCCTGCCGTTGTTGCACCTCCTCCCGATCATGTTTACCATCCTGTTTTTTCTCCTTGGCCTGGTCTCCTCCTCCTTCTCCTCCTCCTCCTCCTCCTCAATATCTTCCTCCTCATCCTCCGTAATGTTCTCGTCTTCCTTCCTCCTCCTGTTTCCTCCTCATTCCCGCCGCGGCGGTTCCTCCTCCTGATCTTCCTTCTTCGAACCATCCTGCTGCTCCTCCTCCTGATGTTGCTGCTGCTCCTGCTCCTCATTGCCAGGGCTTCTTCCTCCTCCTTGCCGTGCTCCTCCTCTGCCACTGGTGCTTCTTCTCCTCCTCCTCCTCCTCCTCTGCCTCCTCCTCCTCCTCCTCCTCCTCCTCCTCCTCCTCCGTCTCCTCCTCCTCCTTCCCCCTCTTCCTCCTCCTCCTCCTCCTCCTCCTCCTCCTCCTCCTCCTTCTCTTCCTCCTCCTACTCCTAAACATCCTTCTGCTCCTCTCCTCCTGATGCCCTCCCGTATCCTCCTGCTGCGCCGACTGGGACCTCCTCCTGTTCTTCCTTCTTCTCCTCCTCTTCCGCCTCCTCCCCCGCCCCCTCCGCCTTCCTTCCTCGTCCCTCGTCCCTGATCCCCCATCCCCCCCCAGCCTCATTCCTCCTGTCTCCTCCCGCCTCCCTTTTAGTTCCTCCATGCTCCCTGGTGGTTCGCCTCGTCGTCTTCCTCCTCCATCATTGGTCCTGCTCGTCTGCCTCCTCCTCCTCCTCCTCCTCCTCCTCCTCCTCCTCCTCCTTCTCTTCCTCCTCACAAACACAGCGTGCTTCCGCAACGATGCTTTCTGTTCAAGCAGCAGGTCCTTAGCCACCACGACTTCACCATGTTGCTCCTGGTTCCTCTGCAGGGTGCCACGCCCTCGCCGCTTCAGAAGAGGCTGCGGCGGTGGCGGCGGCGCAGCAAGCCCACTGGCGCTCCCGACGCGGTTGGGTGTGATCTGGAGCCTAGGCCGCTCTTCGAGGAAGCATCGAACAGGGCTGGACCAAAACAATGTCTTGCGTTTTCGCTGGGTTTTCGTTTTCCCTCGTGTTGACTTCGGTCCGCCTTCGGTGCAAAACGAAGCCAAAACGAAAACGGTCCACGACATCTCCAAACCACCGTTTAGGCCGAGCCCTGGCATCGAGCGCCTGGGGCCTCGTGGGTTCAGACACAGATCAGTGAGGTACGATTCGCAAGCGTGGAGCACGCGCCCATGTCAGAAATCGGGTGGCATACGGCAAGACCAGAGCACGCCTACCGCATCCTCGTCCGTCCCCCCGAGGTCCCAAAACGGTGAGGTGACCACACGGTCGGGTGAGCGGGTAGGGATTCGAGATGGCCGCACGGTCTTGGCCCTTGGGCCGTTCTCCGAGGACGGTCTCGGGCGATTGGGACCCTAGTGTTTCCCAAAGCCATGCGGTGCCTGACAGTGCGAAAGTGGAGAGGGGTTCGAAATCAAGCTGTAGAACGGACCCTCTACTCCATATCGCTTATTAATCGGCCCATGGGGCTGGTCTTTTAAATTACGCTTTGGATGGCGGGGTGGGGGGGCGGATTATTAGGGGCCGTTCCGCGAAGCCAAAGCACCAAGGGAATGGGGGCGATTTTTTATGCACTTTGTGACTCTCCGGCGGTGGGGGGGGCTAGGCCGTCTTGGCACGCATTTTCAACTTCGTTCACGTCTGCACCGCCATGTACAGGATCATTGCAAATTTGCGAGTGTCAATGACGCGCTGCCTTGTCGTCGTCATCGCTCATCGATTTGTAGCCACAATCATCACCGATGTCTCTGCGGATCGTGTTATCGCTATCACAATCAGCCATGCAAGCAACAAACCGAACACAGAACCGAGAACCGTGACAAGAGCAGACCAAACAAGGCCCAAACAGGGAACAGAACAAACCGAACCGGACCGAACCGAATCCTCGCAAAACCGCACCGGTGCAAATTGAACCGGTCGAACCGAACCGTTCGAAAAATGGGAGCCGAATCAAACCGTGACCGGACCCAAGCCAAGCCGGCCAACAGCGAACCGGTGTCAAGCCGAGCCAGCCAATTTAAGCCGAAGCGGGGTGCAAGCCTGCCCGGACCGGGCCGCACCGCGGGCACGACGATCAACGCCATTGATTCCGCTGCTGAGGGGCTCGAGTGTTGAGGCCCCCCGCCGAAGGGTCGGATTTTTTAGGTGCCGCAGCGGGAAAGGAGGGTTTTTGTTTTAAAGGAAGGGGCCGTCTAGTGAGGGATCTGGGAGAAGTGCTCGAACGGGGTATTTTGGCGCCTGAGAAATGTAGGCTTAAGGCAGGCTGCGCAAAGACGTCGAAGGCGAGGCCTCTCGAGGTTGTCGAGGTCACCGCACAGTCGGCCTCCGCACCGTTTCGGGGCCCCCAAGCGGCATTAGCGGTTTCGCTCCCCTTCCTTTACTGCCTCCCCAGCCCCTGTCGTCCGACGCGGAAGGGGGCGGGTCCGTTGAGCCGACTTTTGCTCCTTACCATCCTGCTTCTCCCTGCGCCCCTTTAAGAGGGTCAAGGCGCACCCTGGCGGCTAGAGCTCGGCGAGAGCTTCAAAACGACGGTGCTGACGCCTCGATCGGCCTTCTGTGGGCTACGTTCAAACTCGGGGGCCGATTGAGGAATGGTGACGACCGTCACAGGACCCCCGACTCCCGCAAGACGTCTTCGGCGACTCCGAAAGGTGTGGTTTGCAAAGGTTGTGGTTTGCAACCGGCGCCCTGGTGGGCACCCTGGTGGGCGGGCGGGGACCTCGACAGAGCTCTCCACTGCGCCCCGAGGAGGTCCGACGAGGACAGTCCCAATGGCGCCGATCCAAACCACAGCCCGGCGTAACCGTACCCGTTGTAGTCGCAGAAGGCGGGGCCTTCGGGATCTCAGGCCGTCGGGCCACCTGCCACCAGAGCGAGCCGGAGCGGACGGGCGCCGATGCCGCTGGGAGGTCGACAGCGGGACCGCGGCCCTACCCAGAGGAAGTATTAGCCTGGCGTCTCCCAGGCCATGCGGCCGGTGTGCTGAGCTGCTGGCAGAGTCGCGAGCCCCAGCGCGATGAGCGTAGGCCACCAAACCTCGCGCATTTCGCCCCGCGATGCGCGACTCCTTTCGCGCCCTCGCTTCGCGCCGCCCCCCGTGGTGAAGCGCAGCCGCCCTGGCCCTGACCGCGACTCGCGAATCTTTGCGCCCCTGGGGCTGAGCTGAGCCCGGTCTGGGGAACTGCCGAGTGGCCGCGGGCGCGAGAAGGGCACCCCGAGGAGGAGGAGGAGGAGGAGGAGAAGGAGGAGGAGGAGGAGAAGGAGGAGGAGGTGGTGGCCGGCCTGGGACGGCTAGGCCCCGCGCTGGCCGTACGACTGCTGCGGCTGCTGCTGCTGCTGCTGCTGCCCGCCAAACGAGATTGCGAAGGTCGGGTCGACCGGCCCGTCGCAGGGCACCTCGCCGGAGGACGGGCTGCAGAGGCGTTACGCCTCCTTCCCGTCGCTGGCCGCCTCTCCTTCCTCCTCCTCCTCCTCCTCCTCCTCCTCCTCCTCCCTCCTCCTCCTCCTCCTTCTCCACTTCCCCCCCTCCTCCCCCCCCTCTCCTCCTCCTCCTCCTCAGCCTCCTCCTCCTCCTCCTCTTCCATGTCCTCCTCCTCTTTCCTCATCCCTCTCCTTCCTCCTCCTCCTCCTCCTCCTCCTCCTCCTCCTTCTCCTCCCCAACTCCTCTTCCGCACCCTTCTCCCCCCCTCTCTCCCTCTCTTCCTCACCTGACAACGTGCGCGCGGTTGACAAGGAGGGAGGCGAACTCACGATGATGAGGAGGGGGAACAGTGGCAGGTTGGGCCCGCCTCGGGTGGCAGCCATCACCGCCACCGTGCTGGAGGCGACGGCCCATACCGATGCCGATGTCCCTACAACTACGTATTTGCACAGGCGATCGAGGGCCATAGGAGTGGCCAGCGAGCATTGAGATCACAAGGCTGCCGCGCCACCCAGCGGCGACAACTTTCGAGTCCGGGAATTTTCAGAATCGGGACGTACAGGTTTCAACCTGGACGCGTTGCATTTGACAAAGGTACACGTCACATTTGCAACATCGGGAAATTGCATTGCAACCGTTCAGTGGCACGGCGTTGCCCCCGCCTTTACATTCCTAGAAAGCGAAATTGTGTCAGACGGGTGGGGGAAAGAGGAGGGGCTGGATGTGATGGAAGGACTCGAATGAGACTCTACATTTTGATGCAATGCGCGTGCGCGACCGTACTTCGTGGACGCGTTGTCTGTCCACACGGACGCTCGCAACTGCTACGGTCGGGAACTTTCGCTTAGCGTGTCGCCGTGGCAGCCCCGGCGACACGTTATGCCTTGCAAGCGGATTCTGTCGCTCCGCTCCGCGGGGTGGGAGGCCTCTACGCAGACGTTCCTCACCATAGGGTCCACGTCCACGCCAATGCACGCTGACACTGACTTCGCCTTGCTGCCCCCGTTGCGGGCTCTTGCTTTTCAGATGCCCTGTGGCCCCTACCCCCGTGGACCCCTTGGGGGGGCCCAACGGGGCGAGAGCAGCACTGGCGGAAAGAAGCTCCTCAACCAAGATCCAGTCCAGGGGGCATTTTTTTGCGGGGAAGCAGGAAGAACACTGAGGGGGCAACCGGCTGACGTGGCAGGACACACGAACGCGAGCGGATGCATCAAACTGGCGAGACAATTAGCAAGTCGACAAGTGTTGCGCAGCAGCTGCAATTTTGAAGCTCCTGTCGGGTCTGAGGCCCATCAAAGCATCGTGATGACTAGGCCTGTGAATGCATCTACGCCCCTGGGAAAACCACGATCCGAACGAGAATGCTAGGGCAATTAATCGGGAGCAAACGGGTCGACTTGTTCGCGAAGGCCTCAACCATGCAACCATGTCCTCCACCTCATCCTCAGCCTCCTCATCCCCCTCCTCCTCCTCCTCCTCCTCCTTGTCCTGCTCCTCCTCCTCCTCCTCCTCCTCCTCCTCATCCTCCTCTTAGGAACGGACGTGGAACGTGCGGCGCCAGAGAGCCTTCCAGCCTGTCGTCGGCGGCGTCATGGTGTTGCTCGGGTGGTAAGCCCAGACCTGGTCGCCTCCTGAAGGGAGAGGGTGACGCAAGCAGCAGGATTTGGGGTTAGGGGGGGGAGGCTTTCGGAGGTTTCCCAGTGGGGGGGGGGACAGAGCGGGAAGTGGAGGGCGAGGGGATAGGGGGGGCAGGGGATGTCGAAAAGAGGGGTCGAGGGAAGTGGGGTGCGGGGAGAAGAGGGCATATGAGAAGGAGGAAGAGGAGAAGGATGAAAGGGGGGGAGGAAGGGACGGGGAGGGAAGACTGAGACGAAAGGGAAATTCCCACGACGATGTTCTCGTGTGGCAAATGTCGGACTTGATGAATACGTGATCCTGCGTCGCGCCTTTAGTCACGTGTGTCCACCTCATCGGTATCACAACCATCGCTGTTTTCATGCAGCGCAGACTGTTCGAACATGAGCATGTCGTCAATCTAGTGTTGGCAGCCTACGTCTAAACCGCAAGGGGACGGAATCATTGTGTAACACATGGCAAGTGGCAATCTAACGTGCGCATGTGGCTCGTAGCACCTGGATAAGACGTGCGGGAGACACGGTCGCACGGGAACGCCGTACAACTCACATCGGCTTCGTACGACAACACGCCCACAGGTGTGCGCGTGCGCGATCAGGACCTGTGCCGCAACCCCGTCCACCACGCCAGCCCATGCCCTCCCTTGAGACGAGAGGGTGCCCTCCAGCCGAAGCGGCACTTCTCCTGCGGGCAATTCCCTGCAGAGAGGGCGCCGTGGGCGCGTGCCTGGATGGGCATGCAAGGCCATGCCTCCATACCCGTGCAGGGGTGATGTACAAGTGCAGCCAGCGACGGCAAAGACAGCCACCCCCCAGAGTACAACCGAATCGAACCCTCTCCTCTCTCTCTCTCTCTCTCTCTCGCTTAGGCCCTCGGTTCCCGCGGGTGGAGGCCGCCAACTCCGAGGCACGAATGGCAAGCAAACGCCCGCCGTGCGTTTCTGCTCGCGGCGCCTGGAAAGCTGGGACTCCTCTGCTGCTCGCCGCTGCAACCGCATCTGCCGTCTCCTCCCGTTCCTCCCTAGATAAAGAACAAAAACGGCACACGTAAAACTGTCGGAGCTCGGCGTGGATTGCTTGGATCGGCGGGCCCCCGTGGCGGCGCCTCTGGCGCCGCCCCCTGCCGCGCTTCGCGCGCCAGGGAGAGGGGGTCCAACGCCGTTCCAAGACATCCGCGCGGAGATCCGAAAGTTTGGTCCCAAAGCAGCGGTTGCACTCGGGCAACTCGTATGTGTCCCAGGGATTTGGACGGGTATGCCGAAGAATCGCTACGTTGCCGCCCGTTGCCGCCTGTGGGGTGTGCCGAAAACTCGCCCCGTTGCCACCTGTTGCCGCATCGTTGCCGTCCGTGGGTGTGCCGAGGACTCGCCACGTTGCCGCAGTTGCCGCATGTGGAGGGATGCCGATGATTCGCCACGTTGCCGCCAGTCGCCGCCTCATTGCCGCGGCTGCCGCATGTGGGGGTATGCCAGTGATTCGCCACGTTGCCGCCAGTTGCTGCCTCATGGCCGCATCGTTGCCGCCTCGTGCGCTGAGTGGGTATGCCGAAGGTTCGCCTCGTGGCCGCCCGTTGCCGCCTGTGGGGGTATGCCGAGGATTCGCCACGCTGCCGCCCGTTGCCGCCTCATTGCCGCCGTGGGTAAGCCGAGGACTCGCCAAGTTGCCGCCCGTTGCCGCATGTGTGGAACTTCCGAGGGTTCGCAATGTTGTCGCCAGTTGCCGCATACATTGCGCGACATAGCTTACACTGCAGAAGTTGCACTGCCGAGCTTTCACCTCAATAGCTCACACCTCACACCTTTTACGACATACCTTACACCGCACAGTTTACCCCCCCAAATAATCCAGCTCCATAATGCAACCACTCACTCTTTGGGGTCACATATGATGTGTATGCAGATGCGTCCTCCTGTCCCTGTCAGGATGAATCAACCCTGTCCAGTAGCGGGTTCAGACCGACACCTCGAACTGAATCAAAACGTGGCGGCGAAGGCCCCTCCTCCAGGAGGCCCACAGAGGCGGAACCGTCCGAATCTTATGCCGGCCCCCATCTCCTCCTCCTCCTCCTCCTCCTCCTCCTCCTCCTCCTCCTCCTCCTCCCCCTCCTTCTGCAGGGCCCATCCCCCTCGCCAGCATGAGTTCAGGGCCAACGATGGGACAACGATAGGGGGACCAGCTCAGAGGGGGGGCCATCGACCTGGAATTGGCGATACATCGCCGATAGATCGGCGGTAGGACCCCGATAGCGGATCCGCACGTTCCTGGGCGGGGTGGGCTATCGAGCTCCTGTTGGCGATGAATCGGCGGTTGGGGGCTGGTGCCTGCCCCCCTGAGCCATCCCCCCTGACATTGCCCCTGAGGGCCCCTCCTCCTCGTCGGCACAAGGCGCAAGCGGCGGCGGCGGCGGCTCCCACTTTGGGGCCGAACCACCAGCCGCTGAAGGCCTGGCAGCCGTTTCCGCGCCAGGGCTCTCGTTGCGCCGTCGTCTCCGCGCGGCCCCAGCCTTCCCAGACCCCCAGCGTCGTGATCTGTTTCGCAACATAGGCCCCGAGAAGCCTAGACCCCTCCCCTGGGCCCCGAGACAGGCTTCTCATCCCGGGCTGTCTTGTGATGGCCCGTGAGGCAGGTGAAAGCCCCCAAGCCGAACAATCCACTGAACTGTCCCGCTGTGATTGTATTCACGACCTGAGGGGGCCAGGGGCCTGGGGTAGCCCTGGGCTTATCCCAACTTCCCGCGTGCCCTTTACCACAAATGATGTTCTCCCCTGCGCTCTGGGTGCGTGCTGCAATCATCGAATGCTACATCGCCTATCGATTGGCTCACTTATTCGCTCACCCTCGCCCTGCACTACGTCGTCGTCGTCGTCGTCGTCGTCCTCCCGGGCGCTTGCTAACTAAGAATCCGTGGATCTGGCGCGTGGGCGCCAACCCCACGGACAGGGAAACCTGGCTCCCGAGACACTGTGCCAGTGCCGCCTCGTTTGGCGAGGGAGCGTGCCGACTGTTCACGGCAGGTGGGCCCATCACCAGGTTCGCGCCCTGATCCTTGTTTGTGGTTTCTCGATTTCCCCTCCAACTCCCCCCCCCCCGCACCCAACCGACGACGACGACGACGACGACGACGAGGAAGAACGGCGACGGCGGCAGCGAGGACGGCGAAGACGAAGGCGAAAACGACGACGGCCACGACGGCGAAGGTGGCGACCACGACGACCGCCGGGGGCAGGGCAAAGCAGGCTCCACCGCCCGCCTGCCCGTCGCGCTCGTCCCAGAAGTATAGCATCACGTCGAGGCCATTCACCTCTGCACCGCGCCGAGTGAGGCGAGGGCTCCTCATCCCTCCTCCTTCCACCACTGCTCCTTCCTCATCCTCGTCGTCCTCCTCCTGCTTCTACACTCCTCCTTGCTCCTCCTCCTCGTGCTCCTCCTCGTGCTCCTCCTCGTGCTCCGCCCCTTCCTCCTACTTAGCTATGTTCCTCTCCTCCATCCTCCTCCTCCTGCTCGTCCCCCCGCCTTCTGTTCCTTTTCCCCTCCCTGGCGCGCGGAGCGCCAGGAAAGGGGGGAGCTGTTGATGTTGTTGCTGTTGGTGGTGGTGATGTTGTTGTTGCTGTTGTTGGTGGTGTTGTTGTTGTTGGTTTATATGTGTTGTTTGTTGCTTGCTGTTGTTGTCGTTGCTGTTGCTGTTGTTGTTCATGTTGTTGCTGCTGGTGTTGTTACTGTTCTTGTTATTGTTTGATGGTGTTTGTTGTCGCCCCCCCCCCCGCGACCTGGCCCGCGACCCACCCGCGACCCACGCGCGACCCACCCGCGACCCACCCGCGACCCACCCGCGACCTGGCCCGCGACCCACCCGCGACCCACCCGCGACCCACCCGCGACCCACACGCGATCCACCCGCGACCCACCCGCGACCCACCCGCGATCCACCCGCGACCCGGCCCGCGACTCACCCGCGACCCACCCGCGACCCACACGACTCCGCTGCTTTGACAGAACAATCGGCGCCTGCGGCGGGCACGTTGTACCTATACGACCACCCTTCGGGTGATAAGGAAGTGATGGGGGGGGGGGCACCAACGTCTCACTCAATCGATCTCGCTATTGGTCTCACAATCGATCTCACAGTCGATCTCACAATCGATCTCACATTCGATCTCGCTATCGATCTCACTATCGATCTCACAATCGATCTCACAATCGATCTCACATTCGGTCTCACACTCGGTCTCGCTATCGATCTCACTATCGATCTCACAATCGATCTCACAGTCGATCTCACATTCGGTCTCACACTCGGTCTCACTATCGATCTCACAATCGATCTCACAATCGATCTCACAATCGATCTCGCACTCGGTTTCACATTCGGTCTCACAATCGATCTCACAATCGATCTCATTATCGATCTCACAGTCGGCCTCACTACCGATGTCACTATCGATCTCGCAATCGATCTCACATTCGGTCTCACATCGACCTCTCATTCGGTCTAGGTTGGGGGGGAGGGGCCCAGCAATGGGCAACATCGTAATTTATCTTTCCTCTTTTGAGCTCGCGCCGAATCCCGAAGGCACCACTAGCCGAAACAGGGCAAACGTCTGGAAAGCCAGCGAAAGTGCGCCTCATCTGGTCAGGGAATACGGAAGCGCTGGCAGATCCTGGCGCAGCCCGTAACCCCTGCACTCACTTCTTGCTCGGCAACGTGGCTTGGCTCTTCTCCGCGCGGTCGCCCTTCGTGGCGGTCATCATCATCATCATCATCATCATCATCATCATCATCATAATCAGCATCCTCAGCATCATCATCATCAGCATCATCCTCATCATCATCGGGACACTATCATCGTCATCATCATCATCAACATAATAATCATCATCACCACCGTCGGGACACCATCATCACCGACACCATCATCATCAACGTCATCATCATCATCGGGACACCATCATCTTCATCAACATCAGCATCACCATCAGCAACATCATCATCAACATCATTGTCATCGGGGCACCATCATCATCAACATCATCAACGTCATCATCATCATCACCACCATCATCATCACCATCATCATCACCATCATCATCTCATAATCGATCTGGCAATCGATCTCACAATCGATCTCACTATCGATCTCACAATCGATCTCACATTCGGTCTCACTATCGATATCACAATCGATCTCACAATCGACGTCATCATAATCATCATCAACATCAACATCAACATCATCATCATCATCATCATCATCATCGCCATCATCAACATCATCATCATCACCATCATCATCATCATCATCACCATCATCATCAAAATCATCACCATAATCATCATCATAACCATCATCGGGACACCGACGGGACACCGACGGGACACCGGCGGGACACCGGCGGGACACCGCGCGCCACCGGCCGCCCGGAAGAGACACATTTGGTCCGGCCGCGCCTCAGCCACAGGGACACCGACGGGACACCAGCGGGACACCGGCGCGACACCGCGCGCCACCGGCCGCCCGGAAGAGACACATTTGGTCCGGCCGCGCCTCAGCCACAGGAGACTTTCCTCTCGCCCGCCCACGCAGCTTCGCCTCGCCCGCGCGCACGGCACGCACGAACACGAAACCGAAATCGATTTCCCGGTAGGGGGGCACTCCGTTCCACTTCGATCTCACCCCCTCACCTCCGATAAATTGTGAAAATTTGGTGCCTGCGGCGGGCTTCTTCAGTCTCGCAGACTGCCGACGTCCCCGCCGCCCCCTCACTCATGTCCGCAACTGTGGGGTGCTACGTGTTTCCACTCGGTTGTACTTTCTCCTACGTGGCTGAACATGTATCCTAAAAGCTATCGACGCAGCTAAGTCCCGCTAGCCAGTTAGCGGCTACATCATGTTAAGGCCGTAACATAAACCAACTTGAACTTAGCGCATGCATGCTACTAAGCATATCCAGTGCTTCTGTTTTAGCTCAACCCCCTCAGCTACTAACGACTTAAGAACTCATATACGCATTGCCTGCCATGGCGCTGCGTCTCCCCCGCCTGCGCGAGGAGAGGGAGACGGGCAAGCGAAAGTCCGCGATTGATCCCTTGTAGCCAGCCTCCCGTGATTTGTATCTCCTCGTCCTCCTGCTCCGTTTCCTCCTCCCCTTCCGCCTTCTCACCTCACTCTTCGTCCAAATTATCCTCCCCCCTCCTGCGCCTCCTCCTCTCCGCCCTCGCTTTTCCTTCCCCCCCGCTCCTTCTCCCCCTCTCCCTCCATCCCTTATCCTTGCAAATACTCCTCTTCGTCTGACCACCAGACGTGTCAGAAGGGCGGGCCGGACGTTCGCCTGAGACTTCCTAACAATGTATAGTCATGAATCATGAAGCCTGGATTCTTCAACAGCTTCACATGATAGAGGGCGGCCCGGTTAAACAAATCAGCTCTCGCTCTGGCGCCGGGAACACACACACACACATTGCAGCTTGCAGCAGGCTCTCGCCGTAACGCCGAGTGCACTCGTCGTAAACCACCTACAACAACCACAAGGAAGAGCAGCATTTGCTCAAACTGTGGCGCTCGCCTTCGCGCCGCGCGCATTCGGCCCAAACTCTTGAAACAATGAAAGCGGGTGATGGAACGGCTCCTTTTCAACATGAGGCTCTCGCTTGAGACTCCCGCTGGGTAAGCACAAGAACTTGAACATGGAGAAAAACTGCACGGATGGGAAGCGCTTGTTGTTCAACACAGGGCCCTCGCTTGAAACATCTTCGGGGCTCATGGCCAGAACAAGGAGCGTGTGCAACAGTCGTACAGTTAGGGGCGGTCCTCCTTCAAAAGGGGGCATCGCTGGATACCTCGCTGAACTCTACGCCCACATTTTATCGAAGTACTGATCACACTTTATGAGGATGCAACCAGCTCCTTTGTCCAAGCCATCCTGTGGTGTTGGGTCCTCGTTTGTTGACGAGACAGCGCCCCGCGTCACTCCTTCCTTCCACCTTCCTTCCTCCTCAGGACTCCCGCTCCTCCCTCATCCCAGCCCTGCCTCTGCACTCCGAGAGTCCTTTGTGGCACACCCCTCGCACGCTTCGAGGCTCCAGAGGGAGCTCCACCGAGGGACCCACCGGGAGGGGGTTCTAAGCCACCACCACTCCCAATTCGTCACACCCCTCGAACGCTTCTAGGCCTCATACGGAACTGTACAGAAGGCCCCAGTGGAAAGGTCGGCATGCAACCACCGCGCCCATCCCGGCACACCCCTCACACATTTCGTAGCCTCATAGGGAGCTTCACCGAGGGCCACAGTTGCAAGGTCCGCATGCCACCACGGCGCTCATCTCGGTACACCCCTCACACACTTCGTGCCCCCATCGGGAGACCCAGTTCGGCACACCCCTCACACGTGTCGTGGCCCCACAAGGCGAATGCCCCAGTGGCGAGGTCCGCATGCCACCATCACACCCACTCCGGTACGCCCTCACAAGTTTCGCAGCCCCACAGGGAGCTCCACCAAAGGCTCAAGTGGCAGATTCTGCATGCCACCACCCCACCTAATTTGGCACACCCCTCGCACGTGTCGTGGCCCCATAGGAGGCTCAATCGAAGGACCCAATGCCACGGTCCGCATGCCAACCTCTCGCCCTTCTCGGCACACCCCTTGCACGTGGCGTGGCATCATAGGGAACTCCACCGATGGACCCACTGCCAGGGTCCGCGGGCCGTCGCAGCGTTCATGCCGGCACTTCGGCACAGCCCTCCCGCGCGTCGTGGCCCAATAACCTCATGCCCGTGAGAATAAACACTAGGGGATAATAAAGTTCGGGGTTCAGGGAGAGATAATAAAAGTAGCCCAGCAGACCTCAGCATAATCTCGAAGTAAGAGATGATCAAGAGGAGACCAAGCCGAGCACGTTTTGAGACATCCTTGGCGTTTAGTTTTCATAGAAATATCCTCAACAATGGCTTATCTCTCATGAAAATTGTTTTTTGTAAGTGCTCGTGTAGGGTAGCTCATGTGCCTCATTTTCCACGGATAATCAAACCCAGGGATAAAAAAGTTCAGGCGAGCGTGGGGACAGAGAGACATATAAAAGAAGAAGAATACAGTAGAAGAATAATAAGGAAGAAGAAGAAGAGGAGAATAAGAAGAGGACGAAAAAAGGAAAAATCCAAAGTTCCAAATCTATCAATTTTAATTTACAAACGCTTTATGAACATTGATTTGTTTTAAGTGCTCGTGTAGGGTAGCTCATGTGCTTCATTTTCCATGGATAATCAACCCCAGGGATAAAAAAAGTTCAGGCGAGCGTGAGGACAGATAGAAATATAAAAGAAGAAGAGGAAAGTATAATAATAATAAGAACATTGCTCGTTTCGTTTGAGTCTGCCTCCCAAAATTATTGGTTTCGCTTGACACATCCTGAAAAAGTGTGATCGCTTCGCTTGATGTTGCTATATCAACATCGCTTGATGTTGCTATCTCAACATAGCGTTTCGAGGTGATAATGAAGTTCGGCCTCAGCGCTCGCAGCCCAATTTGAATTTTGTATAGGGCGACGATAATCAACTCTAAACACTGAAGGGGGGGGTCCCTTTATTATCATCGGCATGCGGTTAGGCTACAGAGCTCCACCAGAGGCCCCCAGTGGCAAGGGCCGCATGCCACCGCCGCGCACAAGTCGGCACACCCCGCGCACGCTTCGTGGCCCCAGTCTGGCGGTGCTAACTTCTCAGGCCCCCCATAGGGTACCAGTCCGTCCCTCTGCTCGCCCCTCTCCTCCTGCTCACCCGCCTCGCGGCACTCGGAGCTGCACACGGCTGTGTCCCTCGCCAGGCTGACTTCAGCTGGGCTCTCGCTGGAATGGCGGACGCGGGTCTTTCACGGGGAGGCGCTTCCTGAGACGAAAAGTTCTGCGGGGACTCATTACCAGAGGACTTGGGGCGGGAGCGTGTAGTGCAGCATCGCTAACGCAGATTGAGTTTACCCTGGACCTCCTCCTCCTCCTGCTCCTCCTCCTCGTCCTCTTCCTCCCTCCTCCCAGTTAATTCCTCGGGCTTGTAAGCCATTCCCTCAATCGCTCGACGATCCTGCAACTTTCATCAAAAGTCTCACAATCACACGGATGGGAGCCGGTCATTTTCAAAATTGGGCTTCCGCTCAAGCGCCACTAAGCATAGTCTTACACAGTCTTTTGCCCACGCGCCGCTGACAATCGCTTTACACAGTTGAAACACTTGCAACGATGGAGGGCTCGTCGGTTGTGCTCAAAAAAAGACTCTCACCTTAGCGCCGCGCGAATACGTCTTACCCTTCCCTTCCCCTTTCTTTCTCCTCCCCTTCCCCCTTCCCCTCCCTTGCTCCTTTTCCTGCTCCCCGTCCCCCTTCCCCTCTCACTCCTCTTTCCCCGCTCTCTCATGCGCCCCCTCCTCTCCTTTCTCTCCTCGCCTCCTGCCCCCCCTTCCCCTCCTGCCCCCTCTCCCTCCTCCATCCTCTTTCCTCGTCTGACTAGCAGGCTTGTTGGAAGGGTGAGGTGGGCGGTTCGCTCTCGCCTTCGCGCCGCGGACACTCGTCTCAAGAGCTTGCAACGGCTACAGGGATTGATGGCCCGTGACTTTCAAACTGGGGCTCTCGCCTCAATCGCGCACATTCGTCTCCAAAGCTCACAATCACAGGATGAACAGCCAATTATTGCAAAAATGGCGCTCTCGCATCAAAGCCGAGGGCACTCGCTTCAAAACCGGTAGAAACTACACGGATGGAGGTTGACTCGGTTTCAAAATGCGGCTCTCGCTTGAGAGATCCTCAAATTGCACGACCCGAAGTTCAAACACATGCAGCAATTACACGGATGGAAGGCGGATTCTTTTCAAGATGGGCCTCCAACTTTAGACTCCCGCAGGCATGATGATCATCCGCCAACGTGTTTGCATTGAGTGGGCGTGTCAGAACGCTTGCTGTTGTCTTGGAGGGTTTTTAATGTTGTCTAGGGCTGACCCCCCCCCCCGCGCGCGCGTGCTTCGAATATCGTTCCCTCTGAAATTGATTACCGGGGTCCTTCCAAACGGGGAAAATTGCCTCCAAGACGGCTTCCAAGGCAATCAAGGTGACACCAAGACGGCCCAAGACGGCTCAAGACGGCCTCAAGAGGCTCCCAAGACGGCCCGAGAGGGCTCCAAGAGGCCCTCCAAGAGAGCCCGTGGAGGCTAAACACACGGATGTTCCGCAGGTCTCTGAAGGACGTTGCAATTCTCGCTCGTTTGGGCTTCCGACCGCCCAATACGGCCCAAGAAACCCCCAATACAGCCCCAAGACAGCCTATGAGGCCACCAAGAGGACCCCAAGTAGGCGCAAGAGGACGCCGAGATCGCCAAAGAGGCTCCCAAGGAGGCCCCAAGACGGCGCCAGAGCGCTCCAATGAGGGCACGGAGACGGCCAGAGAGGCCTCAAAGACTGCCTCCGAAGGCGTCGTACGGGCCAATCGCCCCCCCAAGACGGCCCAAGAGGCACCCAAGAGGCCCCAGGAGGCCCCCACGAGGCCCCCAAGAGGCCCTTCAGGAAGCTCCAAGGAGCCCCCCAGGAGGCCCCAAGAGGGCCCCAAGATGCTTTCTCCTCCTCGTCATTTGTTTCTCAAATTCCTCTTCCTCCTCCTCCTCCTTCTCCCCCACCGCGCGGACGAAGACGATGTCGGGATCACGATCCTCCCCAAGTCAGACCACTCGCTGAACTGCAGCGGGGTGTGAACTCGACCGACTTCCTACCGCGCGGGCGAAGGCGAGGTCGAATTCACGGCCCGCCTTTAGGAATTGCGCTGCTCCTGCACTCAGTCTCCTTTCTGCAGCGCTGTTGTACAAGCATTGTGACGGGGTTTTCCGCAGGCAGCTGGCTAGCTTCAACTGGTGCAACCCTTCATTGAAACGGTGCCCTTGAAATGGCAAATCCTTTTTCGGAACGTGGCTGTCGCTAGAGACTTCCCTGAACTTTCACCTTCTGCCTCTCCGCGTTGCCTTTAGCTCGGAAATTGGATGGAGTACCCTTCACAAAACGGAATATTGCCTGAACGGCAGGACAACTGGACGCTTGTCATTCAAGCGGGGTGCTTCGGGCAGTGGAATACTTGCAGGGACTTATGAAGTGGAGACTTGGGACGGGATGGTGTATTGCACCATCGCTGATGCATTTGGGGGTTGTTCTGATCTCTTCTTCTCCCCCCTTCCCTTCATGCCCTCCCTCCCCCTCCTCCTCCCATCTCCCTCTGTCTCCCTCCTCCCCCTTCGACTCCCTCCTCCCCCACCATGCCCAAGAGCAGAACGCCCCAGTCCGAGCAGCCTGAGTGTCCTTCTTGTACGAGGGCTTCCCGTGGTTTTGTCCCACTGCGGTGAAGGAGCCGCGGACAATGGCGCCGACGGTGGCGTGGGCGCAGCCGCTGACGCTCAGCTGGGAAGCGTTAGCGGCGGCACCGCCTGCGGATGGAAGGGGCGGGGGGGAAGGAGAAGCTAGATGTGATCGCGCCATATCGGACATCCTGGGCCTCCCGTCCACCCCTTTCCATTGCGCTGAGTTTCTCCATCCGCCGACGGGAGTCCTCGTGAACCTAGATCACCAAATGCCCTCAACGTGTGATGCGCAATCAGAAAAGGGGAGCTGTGCATGCTGGAGAAAATGGCGGATGACGAGGAGGATTCGCAGGAGGAAGAAGAAGATGAGGAAGGAAGGGGCGGAGGAGGAGGAAGATGATGAGGAGGAGGAGGAGGGCCAGCAGCAGCAGCAGCAGCAGCAGCAGCAGGACGAGCGGGGGGAGCAGGATGACCAGGATAATGCGGAAGAGAAAGGAGGGGGTCGGCAACGACGAGGAAGGAATCGGATACAGACATGCGGCCCGCGATGGGGCGAGAGCGCCATTCCGAACGACGGGGGCACAGCACCGATCCTGAACTGTGAAGTGCTGCAGGGGGAGCACCATGCATGATAGGCCGAGAACGTTCTGATCGGAGAAAGCATGATCGAAAGTCGACTCGGGACTGTCCTGTGAGCAACTATCGAAAGCTGTAGGCCAGCGAAACTAAGAAAACATTTGGGCTAATATCTGATGGTAGCTGAGTAACTGCAAAGGAGGTCGGTTCGACCGAGGAGCAAGATTGGGCATGACGAAGGTGAGGTGGTGGAGGTGGATCAAAGGGGAAGCCGGAGGGGGATGGGGATTGACCTGGAAGGGTGCCGAAGAGGTGCACGGGGAGCAGGAGGAGCGACTGGAGGTGGCAGTTGTGCGGACGAGAGGGGGGAGCATGAGCCAGGGCAGGGATGGAGGGACGGGATGGAGGAGCGTGGGGAGAAGCCAGGAGGAGGCGCCGCAGGCTCAGCCTGCCAGGGGGGGATGCATCGACCCCCAGTCGCCCGCTGATCGCCGATATGGGGCCCGATGGCCCACGTGCGGTTTCGCCCTCGGGGGCCCGCCGCCGATCTATGCCGATCTAGGGTCAACTCTCAGGATAAGGACGCACGACCAGGATGCAGGGGCCTTGGAAGGCCAGGTCGACACTCTGCGGGCGGGGCGCGCCCAGCGAAGGCGGCCAGGATGGGCCGACGGGGAAGGCCGAAAACCTCGGGACGACTGCATCGGCGATGCAAGGTCAAGTCCAGATCGATGCTTCCCCCCCCCCCCCCCCGAGACGCTTCCCCTCCTCACGTGGCTCCCGAGGGGGCCGACAGGCCGCGGGGGCCGCAGTCGCCTCTGTCGTGCTGCTGCTGCGGCGGCTGCTGGCGCGCCTTCTCTGCACAGCGGAAAGCGGTGCTGCCACTTGTCATCAGCTCTCGTCGGCATATCCTGAACCTCTTTCCCTGCAGCTGCCTCTGCTGCTGTCTCTTCCCATCTTCCTCATTCCTCCCCACCTCCCTGACCTCCTCCTCCTCCTCCTCCTCATTTTCCCCCTCCTCCTGCTTCCCTCCTCCACCTGCTCGAGATCGGAGTTAATCGAGCTTCCAGGCGAGTGTGGGACATTTGGCGCAATATCACGTTGCTCAGCGTGGCCTTCAAGGGTACTGCAAATCCCTCAGCATTTGCTTTCGAACTTGGTGGTTCTATTGACAGCTGCCGCGGGCATACGTAGAATGGTGTGGCTGTTGGCTACTTACGTCCGTGGGTAACTGAGCCTCTGGAAGTCCTGATTGCCGCAACGGCTGGACGGGGCTCCAACCACTGGTCAAGAGATCCGGGCGCAGCTAACATAGATTAGGGACCCGTGGATCTGGCACGTGGGCGCCAAATCCATGGATCGGGGAAAGATCCCCCCGAAGCATGGTAGCATCGCCGCCTCATTTGACAACGAAGCGCGCCGACTCTGCACGGGAGAGCGCCGATTCTGTGCGGAAGCGGGGCCCGTCGCCTGTCCATGCGTTTTGATCCATGTTTGCGCTTCCTTGAGAGACGTTGTCAGGGCGGGGCTCACAATCTGGCTTCCAGCGGGTCCGGGAGGCGATTGCCAGAGGATCAGAACGAGGTCGAAAGACAAAAAGATAACCAGGAGAACGGGGGGCGAGCGAGAGCGAGAGAGAGAGAGAGAGACACAGAGGAAGAGGGAGGCAGACAGGAGGGGGATCTGGAGAGGATCGGGAGAGGGCACTGGTCCTCATCATCCCTCCTGCTCCTCCTCATCCTCGAATGGAAGAGGGCCCCGGAGGTCAAAAGAGGCCAGATCAGCATACAGGCGGAGTGGTGGAGCAGGGAAAAAAGGAGGAGAGCACAGGCAGCGCTGACCTTGTTGCTGCCGTTGCTGTTGCTGCTCCTTCTCTTCCTTACCCCCTGGAATTGCCCTCATGGCCCCCCGAAACCAGTTGGACTCCCTGAAACTCCCCTCTCCAGCGGCTCTCCTTCACTCTCCAAATCTCTGATCGAATGAGCTGTGAAACGAACATGTACAATCAGTATGGTCCACCAGTCTGCCTCGCCACTGGGCGCAAGTCTGAGTGACCAAGGCAACGTAATCTTGAATCCCCGCGGCCAGGGCAGGTCCCGTCTCAACAACTGCACCCACTGCTGCACAAAACCATTCGCGCAAAACTGTGACAACTGTCGTGGGAGCCCCGTAAAGTAAGCCGCACACCTCAGGCACGTCACCACAGGCAGAGAAGTCTTGATTCTTTCGGCAGCGTGCAGGGTGTGAGGGCTGGGGGTCACGACCTTAGTTACTGTAGGTGACAATCCAAAATGAACCCGCCGCAAGAAACCCAAAAATTTGAATCCAGGGCTGGTTTCTTAGACTTCGGCTGCAAGCGAAGAAACCCAGGGCACGCTGACCCGAACTGCGTCTTGATCGCTTGCGTTGTGTCATTTGGTATCAAGGAGCCCACCGCGCCAACGCCCACGAATGCCTACAGCCTTGAACGTCGAACGCAAGATAAAGAAACTCGGGCCGGGCGAAAGGGGGGGATAGCAAAGGGGGGGGTTGAGAATCAGCTCACGTAGCTGATTTTCCCGGCGCCTCCCAGCGCCGGAGGCGGCTATGTATCGAGGAATGGGCCCCTCGGTGGTGCCGAAACCAGCTACATGCAGCAGATTTCGTAACCCCCCCTTTCCCAAACCCCCCCTTTCGCCCGACCCGAGAAACAAAGGGCACCCTGCAGTCTGGCTGTATCGTCTAAACGCACAGACGGGGTCAGGGCCGCACAAGACCCTCTGGGTTCTTTCTATCAAATACATAGGCACCGTCCAAGCAATGCGAGGTATATGAAGGGGCCCCAGGACACACAATTAAATACACACAAATAAAAAGATCTCCCATATTTTCCCATATTTTCTGGGTTTTTGTCATCCCCCCACTTCCCATATTTTCCCATATTTTCCGGGGAATCGAGGATTAATTGTGTCTGTGTGTTTCTTTTCCTCCTGAGTATACCCGTTCCAGCGGGCCCCGTGAGCCTGGCGGCCCGCGGATAAAACCAGCAGCCTCTCGGGGCCCTGGGCGCTCTGTTTTAAGTCTCCAACAAGGTCCTTGGCTTTATGGCAAAAACAAACACACCAGCCATGCCTCCTGCCAGGAAGACCCAGACAACTCAGATCCAAATGATGCCTGGCCATGTGCGCCATCTCGGGAAGTAGTGTGGCCCCGTTATCAGCGTACTCATCGGCTTTGTCATTACCTAGTTTGTGCAGGTCTAGCTGCGACAATTGCATCATCTCCGACATGAGCTTTCACCGTATTCAGAGACCAATCTGGGCACGTCCTGGCGAGAGACGGGCACCTTCCGTATTTCACTGAGCGGCGATCTGGCGCTCGTGGACGCCCGCCGGTCCCGCGGGCCTGCAGAGAAGGCCTCACAGTCGAGGTGCAGCCCGAACGGCTCTGCACCTTCCTCTGCCTCAAAATGCTCCAGGGCCTGGAGCCCTCTACCCCGCTCCTCTGGACCCTCCCTCCTGCTCATCCTCCCATCTCTTTCCCCCTCTGATCGGGGCCAGCGAAGAGACAGCCTGCGAGAGAGCGCGGCCTGCCAAGACCCCTATCGGGGCCACCTGATACATGTCAGGAACGCTGGACGGGAGGAGCCTCTGCCCGAGCTCTGCATCCCCCGTCTTCCGATCTTCCTCCATCTCCTCATCTTCCTCCTTCCGCTCCGGCTCCTCCTCCGCCCCTCCTCGAAAGCGAGCGAGCGAGCAACCATTGCGGAGCCTATCTAAGGCGAGGCGATCGAGGCCATGGCTTCTGTACGCGTATATATATGTATATATATATATATACGTATACATGCATACATACATACATACATACATACATACATACATACATACATATACATACACATACACATACACATACACACATACACCCATACACATAAATGTACACATACACATACACGCATGCACATACACATGTACACACATGCACACATACACACAGACACACATACACATACACATACACATACTCATACACATACACGTACCGATATGCATACATATGTATGTACATAAATGCACACATATACACATACATGTTCACTGTTTCTCTGATTCCTCGGTTACGGCGCCGTGCGAATTGGCTCGCTCGATCGGGCTGGGACGGATATGCCGCGCTGTCGTTTTTTGTTTTCAGTTTGGAGGTCAGAGCTACTGGGGCCTGTCAGGACTCTGTGGGCATCTCGGGAACCCTTCGGGGGCCTTCGGGAGCGGGTGGCCTAATGGGGCCTCTGGGGGCCTGCTGGCGGTCCTGGGGGCCCTTTTGGGGCGGAGGGCTCGGAATCTCAATTCGAGCCCCCCCTCTTGCACCCCTCTGAAGGCCCTCAGAAGGCCCTCTGAGGGCCCTCTGGGCCGTCTTCGGCGCTTCGTGGGCTGTCTTGGGGCCCTCTTAGGGGCGTCTCGGGGTCCTCTTGGAGGCCCCTTGGGCCGTCTTGAGATGATCTGGGAGGCCTTTTCGGCCGTCTTGGACGCTGTGAAAATCGAGGAGTCGCATATAGAACAAAAACATGTTCTCTACATGAATGGCACGGTTGTTGGCTCTTGGAGCTCTTTTGGGAGGGCCTTCGAAGCCTTTGGGCGTCTTAGAGGCCTCTTGGCCAGTCAAGAGACCATCTGGAGCGTCTTGGACCGATTGCTCGGCGAATCGGGGCCCTCGTGGACCGTCTGAAAAGCTTCGTGGAGCCCTCTTGGCCAATCTTGGGGCCCTCTTGGGGCACTTGGGGGCCGTCTTGGGCTCCTCCAAGGGCGCTCCCGACCCACCCGGGCCGCGAAGATCAAAGCAGATCTGCTTCTGCGTATATAGGTACCCAGTGTATTAGCACAACATATACATAGAGGGAAAATGCAGACGCGCTGCGAGACATACGGCTGCCTCTCTCGAGGGGAAGCCGGAGGCAGCGCAGGCCTGTTGCTGCATGAGCTGCGCCAAACCTGCGGGGGCGGCGAGCTGCGCTCCCGCGGCGCGGGGTACGACGGGGCACCGGTGAGGAATGCGAAGAGCGAGCGAACGAGCGACTGCCACTGCGGACGACAAACGCCCAGGCCTGGCCAATCGACGTTCGACGGACCCGGGTCACTGCAAGCCCGGGCAAGCCAGGCCTTGCAGGAGCCTGCAAGATCCTGCAAGACCCTGCAGGATCCTGCACCCAGGCCGGGGTCATTGCGACCCCTGGCCCTGCAGGATCCCGCAAGATCCTGCGCTCCGACTGACCCCCGTGTGCCTTGACCCCCGTCTCTTGAGCCCCGAGCCGAGGCGAAGTGAACGACACCGGAGCCTGTGGATCTGTGGATCACGCCAGCCCCTGCGCCGCGAGAAGCATACAGAACCAAACAAATACCAATTGTGTGGGTGGTGGTGCGGGGTGAGGGGGGGCAAGACAATATCAATGATACGCCACCGTTGGGAACGCATCAATGTGTTGCTGCTGATGCAGTCAATCTACATGTTGGCAAGCGTGGACTCCAAGCAGTTTGTTTCTAGCAGTATTTGTTGCGCAACCTAGTTGGAGCAATCTATGTGGCGCAATCTACGTGGTGCAATCGATGTTGTGCAGCACAAATTGTGCAAGCTATTTTGTGCAACAGTTGCTGTGCAATAGCTGTGGCGATTTCTATGTGGTGTGGTGCAGTATTCGTGGTACAATGCATGTTCTGCTATCGCTGTTCACTCATATATGTGGTGCAAAAATTATATGTGGTGCGCTCTGTGTGGTGCGCAATCTACTTGGAGAAATCGATGCGGTGCAATCTACTCGGTGCAATTGAATTCTGTCCTCAATGATTTGTCAACTCCACTGCTCGCGCAATCATTCCGCCCACCCACAGGCAAACCGTTTTGCAAAACCCATGCGCGTGACCTCGCGTATCGCTGCGGCCGCGCTACCGCGCGCAGGCTCGCGCGCAGGGCGGGCAGCTAATCTGGCGGGACTGACGCGGCCGCGGAGGCGCTGACCGCTGGGGACTTCCCAGCGCGTCCCGCAGGCCGCGCTGACGCGCGGGATTTCAGAGCGCGTAGGACGCACGGGAGGGCGTAGTATAATGGCGACGTCGACGACGGTGGGCGCGATGATGATAGTAATGATGCTGGCGACGATGGCGACGGCAAGGCCGCTGACGTCGCCGATGCTGATCATGCCGATGACGATGATGGTGTCCACGCGTCGGCGATGAAAGTTTTGGATGGACTTCGAAATGCGCGCGCGGCCGACGGGCGCGAGAGGCCACCGCGGCACTACTGGACAGGGATCGGTACCACCCAACAGGTGCGCAAAGACGGTCAAGTAATTTCGACATGCCCGCGTGAGACTCTTTTCGCCGCACGTCACGAAAATTGTGAACAACCGATGATCTTGATGGGAAATTCGCAAAACGCGCAACTCTGACGAATGTTGAACAACGTTGGTGATTTTTGTTCCATAAGTGCTCATCTTGAAATCCGCGTGGGGCTGGCTGCATGTCAAGAACTCCGGCATGCGCGCGCGAAGGGCCCACGCAATCGCATTTGGTGACAACGGTGACACGTATATGGTTTGCATGGAGACACGCGCACGAGCGAGCGCAGACTTTTTTGAAAGAAAACATGTTACAACATTTCTGGTAGTTGATGCGTGTTCGGGAAACTCGATCACAAAACCCTTGCGAAACCTACTGCTGTTGAACGATACCTCCGGCATGCACGCGCGAAGGCGTTCCCATGGACTTTGTCCTATCTGCTGCCACGGTCCTGGACACGGGTGATTTGCGAGAAACGACCGCGCGCATAGTATCACTTGACAAAATGGGGCGGGGGGGGGTGATGAGGGCCTGACTGGGATGCCACGATAAAATTCAAAGTGAAGGACGGGGCAGAACCACATGCAAAGTGCACCATCCCAATGGGTAGCGACCAGCAGTGGGGGGGGGGGGGGCGAGGTCCTGATCACTTCCTAAGAAGAGAAGATAATTGTACAAACTCGTACTCCATAGTGTATTGCCAACTCCTCCTCAAAGCTACTGCCCTCGCGATCGCCGCACTCACCCGCCCGCGACTTTTTTTGAACAACTAATGCGACGGCGATAGCGATGACAACTCGGCGCCGGCTGGCGCATCGCTGCGGCCGCGCTAGCGCGCGCAGGGTCGCGCGCAGGACGGGCAGCTAATCTGACGGGACCGACGCGGCCGCGGAGGCGCTGACCGCTGGGGACTTCTCAACGCGTCCCGCAGGCCGCGCTGACGCGCGGGATTTCAAAGCGCGTAGGACGCACGGGCGAGCGCAGTATAATGGCGACGTCGACGACGGTGGGCGCGATGATGATAATGACGATGCTGTTGACGATGGCGACGGCAAGGCCGCTGACGTCGTCGATGACGATGATTGTGTCCACGCGTCGGCGGTGAAACTTTTGGATGGACTTCGACATGCGGGCGCGACCGACGGGCGCGAGAGGCCACCGCGGCACTCCTGGACAGAGACTGGTGCCCTGCAGCATGTGCGCAAAGGCGATCAGAGGATTTCGACATGCGCGCGAGAAGCTCGCTTCGAAATATTTCATGAACCTGGTGAACAACCGATGGTTTTGATGAACGCAAACTGTTGTTTAGACGCACGTTGCAAAACCACTGGTGTTTGTATATGTGCTCGGGCACTCGATCTTGAGATCCGCGCCGGGTCCGCGTCGTTTCAAACATCCCGGCATGTGCGCGCGAGAGGCCCGCGCAGTCGCATGTGATGGAACCTGTAAATGATTATGGTTCTCATGGGGCATACGCACGAGCGCGCGCAAAATTGTTTGAAAGACAGCATGTTGCAAAGTTTCTGGCGTTTTGTGTAAGCTCGGGGACCTCGTTGTTTAAAACCTTTGCGGAACCTGTTTTTATAAAACAATGACTCACACATGCGCGCCACGGCGCACGCGTGTGGACCTTGTACCTTCTGATGCCAAGGGTTTGCGGGCACTGATGAATTGTGATAAACGCGTGCGCGCATAGTACCACTATACAGGGATGACTGGAATTGCGCGGGTTAAATTACGCTACCGAGGAACCCCACATACTTAATTTAAAGCTTCTGTGTTTGCATTTCATTATCATCCATGCGCAATCCTGCGCAATCCTGCGTTATCATCCATAGCGGCCCAGCTGAGAGACCCCCCTTTGCGCACCCCCTATGGTGTCGAGAAAGTGCCACGCCTGCTAGGCTTTGCGACAATGTCGTGGATAGCGGCCGAGCTGAGAGACCACCCCCTGCGCACCCCCTATGGTGTCGAGAAAATGCCACGCCTGCTAGGCTTTGCGACAGTGTCGTAGATAGCGGCCGAGTTGAGAGACCACCCCCTGCGCACCCCCTATGGTGTCGAGAAAATGCCACGCCTGCTAGGCTTTGCGACAGTGTCGTGGATAGCGGCCGAGCTGAGAGACCACCCCCTGCGCACCCCCTATGGTGTCGAGAAGGTGCCACGCCTGCCAGGCTTTGCGACACTGTCGTGGATAGTGGCCGAACTGAGAGAACACCCCCTGCGCTCCCCCTATGGTGTCGAGAAAATGCCACGCCTGCTAGGCTTTGCGACAGTGTCGTGGATAGCGGCCGAACTGAGAGAACACCCCCTCCGCACCCCCTATGGTGTCGAGAAAGTGACACGCCTGCTAGTCTTTGCGACAGTGTCGTGGATAGCGGCCGAGCTGAGAGACCACCCCTGCGGTGGTGTGCCACGCCTGCTAGGCTTTGCGACAGTGTCGTGGATAGCGGCCGAGCTGAGAGACCACCCCCTGCGCACCCCCTGTGGTGTCGAGAAAGTGCCACGCCTGCTAGGCTTTGCGCCAGTGTCGTGGATAGCGGCCGAGCTGAGAGACCACCCCCTGCGCACCCCGTATGGTGTCGAGAAAGTGCCACGCCTGCTAGGGTTTGCGCCAGTGTCGTGGATAGCGGCCGAGCTGAGAGACCACCCCCTGCCCACCCCCTTTGGTGTCGAGAGAGTGCCATGCCTGCTAGGCTTTGCGACAGTGTCGTGGATAGCGGCCGAGCTGAGAGACCACCCCCTGCGCACCCCCTATGGTGTCGAGAAAATGCCACGCCTGCTAGGCTTTGCGACAGTGTCGTGGATAGTGGCCGATCTGAGAGACCACCCCCTGCGCTCCCCCTTATGGTGTCGAGAACGTGCCACGCCTGCTAGGCTTTGCGACAATGTCGTGGATGGCGGCCGAGCTGGGAGACCACCCCCTGCGCACCCCCTAACCTCATGCCCGTGAGAATAAACACTAGGGGATAATAAAGTTCGGGGTTCAGGGAGAGATAATACAAGTAGCCCAGCAGACCTCAGCATAATCTCGAAGTAACAGATGATCAAGAGGAGACCAAGCCGAGCACGTATTGAGACATCCTTGGCGTTTAGTTTTCATAGAAATATCCTCAACAATGGCTTATCTCTCATGAAAATTGTTTTTTGTAAGTGCTCGTGTAGGGTAGCTCATGTGCCTCATTTTCCATGGATAGTCAAACCCAGGGGTAAAACAGTTCAGGCGAGCGTGGGGACAGAGAGAAATATAAAAGAAGAAGAATACAGTAGAAGAATAATAAGAAAGAAGAAGAAGATGAGAATAAAAAGAGGACGAAGAAAAGAAACATCCAAAGTTCCAAATCTACCAAGTTTAATTTACAAACGCTTTATGAAACTTGATTTGTGTAAGTGCTCGTGTAGGGTAGGTAGCTCATGTGCTTCATTTTCCATGGATAATCAACCCCAGGGATAAAACAGTTCAGGCGAGCGTGAGGACAGATAGAAATATAAAAGAAGAAGAGGAAAGTAGAATAATAATAAGAATAGAAGAAGAAGAGAAGAAGAAGAAGAAGAGAAGAAGAACGGAACAATGGAAAGTTCCAAATCTATCAAGTTTAATTTACAGACGCTTTATGAAAATTGTTTTTTTTTTTAAGTGCTCATGTAGGGTAGCTCAT